GGGGGGGGGGGGGCTCAAAGGCACACGTGTTCGTTAACCTGCAGGGCTAAGAAGTGAAAAAAAAAAGTATGAGGCTGGCTGTTCACGCTGTATTAATTAAATGTACAGCATTTGAATGGGGTATGGCTGGTGATTGCGTTTATGGTAGTGTCTTTTCCTCCTCCTTATCCTCTTCTTCTTCTTCTTCTTCTTCTTCTTCTTGATTTTACATGTGTGTCTCCTTCCTTCCTCCCTTCCTTCCTCCCTCCATTCCTTCCTTCATTCCTTCCTTCCTTCCTTCCTTCCTTCCTTCCTTCCTTCCTTCCTTCCTTCCTTCCTTCCTTCCTTCCTTCCTTCCTTCCAACTATCTTTCTTTCTTTCTTCCTCCCCCCCCCACCTTCCTTCCTGTCTTCCTGCTTCTCCTACTCCAATTCCTGTGGCATCTGTGGTGCGTCTTACAAGCCAGAGATAATATAGGTACATATAATTATGTCCCCCTCAATGAGGATACTTTACTTGATCTGAAATCTCCCTCAGTCTGTTAAGGTTTGCACTTTAGTTTTACTAGATTCTAGTCTATTCATCATGGGTCAGCTGTGACAGCCACGGTCGAAGAGTCGTGACTCCTGAATGGTAAAAAAAAAAAGTGGCGAATGGGGTTTAAAACATTAATTAAATGTAAAATGATGATAATGATAGCAATGATAATAATAACAATAACAATTGTTATTATTATTATCTTTATTATTATTATTACCATTATTATTATTACTATTATTCTATTATTATTATTATTATTATTATTATTACTATTACTATTATTGTTATCGTTTTATTTGTTTTTTATTATTTTATTTTTTAAATATTATTTTTATTATTATAAAATGACAGTTGCATTTACACTCAATCATGAGACTCTAGCTGCACTGTATCCCGAGAAGCCAAGAAAGTTTCTGAACCTTCTAGAGTCTGCTTGCTGTTGAGCGGCAATATGGGCCACACAAATGTACTATTATTATTATTATTACTATTATTATTATTATTATTATTATTATTATTATTATTATTATTATTATTATTATTATTATTATTATTATTATTATTATTAAGTATTATTATTGTTGTTATTATTATTACTATCACCATCATCATCATCATCACCATCATCATCATCATCATTTTATTATTATCTTTATTTTTTTATATTTTTTTATTATTATTATTATTATTATTATTATTATTATTATTATTATTATTATCATTATTGTTATTATTATTATTGCGCATATCCACTCTCTACAGCATGCTCTAGGGCAGTCTAGGCGTTTGTAACCATTTATTTTACCCCACCAAACCCAAGAACACTCTGAAACATTCTGTGCTTGACGGGAAGCATACAGAGCTAGCTGCGGATTGCACGCGCTCAAACAATAACAAACTGACAAGACCTTTCGATATCCGTAACCAGGTACCCAATTCCGACCTAGCTGAAGTGAGGAGACTTCGTGTAAAATGTCTTTCTCAAGGACAAAACGGCGGGCCCCTGGCGGGATTCGAACCCACGACCTTACAGTTGCGAGTCCGTGAGCCTAACCACTACGCCACCGGCGCCGCTATTCTTCTTCTTTTTCTTTTTCTTCTTCTCCTTATTATTATTATTGTCATTATTATTATCATTATTATTATTATTTTTATTATCATTATTTATTTATTTTAAATTTAAATTTATTTTTATTATTATATGAATATTATTATTGTTGTTATTGGTGGTGGTGTTGTTATTGTTGTTGTTGTTGTCGTCGTCTTCATCATCTTCCTTATTATAACCATCATCATCATTATCATCATTATCATCATTATTATTAACTGTGGGTTCATAAAGGTGGAAGGTTCAAACCTTTAATGACGGAGTTGACCCTGGAGGCGTTGTCTTACCTGTTCCTGGAGCTACGGCCTGGCGGGTCCTACACACCCGATACCTGCATGGCCAGAGAAAAGACAGCGATCATCATTCCCTTCCGGTTAGTATTTTTCTTCATCGTCATCGTCGTCGTCGTCGTCGTCGTCGTCATCATCATCATCATCATCATCATCATCATCATCATCATCATCATCATCATCATCATCAAAGGTATTTTTTAAATTATATCTTTTAAATATACATGTATAACATTAATATACTGTATATTCATTATGTGTGTCGGTGTGTATGTGTATGAGCGCGGGCGCGCGCATGCGCGGGTGTGTGTGTGTGTGTGTGTGTGTGTGTGTGTGTGTGTGTGTGTGTGTGTGTGTGTGTGTGTGTGTGTGTGTGTGTGTGCTTCTTCTTCTTTTTCCTTGTTCTCGATGACAGCAGCAAGACAGCCCGTCCGATGCCGCGCACAAACTGTGCAGTCCGCTTCAAATCTGAGAGACTGCCATAAAGCTTTCTCTCAAAAGGAGTCACATTCTGCCACGTCTGTGCACAAACGGTGGTGTAGTGCGGGCAGTGCTGAAGAATATGGTTGGCATCCTCTTGGTCGAGTCCACATTCACAGATCGCGGACTCTCCCACTTTTGATTTAGTGTGCTTATGGTGTTTGAGTATGTTGTGACAACAACGGAGTCGAAAGATTGTAACCTGGTCTGCTCTATTGTGTATGTAGTAGGGGTTGTGTGTGTGAGCGTATGTGCGTGTGTGTATCTGTGTGTATGTGTGAGTGTGTGTTTGTGTGTCTGTGTTTGTATTGTGCACCTCAAGAAAAACGAAGAGAAGTAAGAGGCCAGCACCAGTCACCACTGACTTTGTAATGTGCCTCCCCCCCCCT